TCAGATTTGCTCGTGCCTCTGATCAGTCCATTTCGTATCTTTTATTTGAGCTTTTATTTGAACTGTAGCTTCCTCGGTATCATCAACATTTCTTTCTTCTTCCATGACCAGTTCTCTCGTAAAATCCCGTCAATAGTATCTTCATAACATTCATTATCACTAAGATTGTATTTATCAGTATCCGAATCAGAATCTGACGATGTAATTCTATTTATGCTTCTCCTTCCAGGCAATCCGATCTCTTTTCATTATTGAAAAAAATAAGGGCAGAGATTTTAAGTTATACCATTCGGTACTCAGCAAAGATTCCAACTGTTCATGCAGGAACAGAAACAGACATGAATTAACAGCGCACGCTTCCTATAGCGGCACGGGTGGCCTGTAAGAGATTTTGTTGTAAATACGCGTGGCAGTCAACGTGTTAAAGTGCAATTGTTCTATAGGTCGCAAGACTCGCTCAACTTCATACGCGTAAAATGCACTGGGTCAGATAAAGTGGAAAGAGTTTAGAACAGAAAAACTGTTGTGGATATAGAGCAAATATGTGGCTTTCAAGGATTATTGGTCCGCTGATTTTACGCATCTGTCGAAAAAAATGGGTTAAACTAAAGCTGTAGCAAAATTAAAAGCAATTAAGAATGTCTATATATCACTCTCAATTCATTAACACGATCAATGAACGAAAAGTATGTGACTCATATTGTTTTGCGATTAATACAGACAAATTTTATTTTTCATTAAAATTCGCAATTAAAATGTTGATTATGCTTACCATTTGTTGCAAAACGCGGGCGTTCGCCGAGCTGTTTTAATCAGCGCGCTTCTAGCCTTCCAAGGTTTGAAAATGAATCGTTTCCTTTTGCAAGCTTCGCAATCTACATTAATCTAATTAACTGCTATCTACATTGCTAATGGACGTTGACGAACAGTGAAAGTCTAGAGAATCGTGTTCAAAAGGTGTGTTTGCTGAGCCAACGGTTTTCAAGATAAACCACAAGGTTGGCTTCACCCAAGTTGTTCAAAAAGAACGTCAGACTTCGGGATCAAGAAAAGATCTACGGTCACGTATAAAGTTCCACAATTTGCCTAATACCGAAATGCGGTTCAAAATCTGCTTACCTTTACGACAGTGTTTGGTGAGATGCCAAGAACAGCTTTATCATTCGCAAAAAGCGAGGAACAGCAGTAAATTAACACCTGTAACTGTTTTTTTAACCATCCAGAAGCAATAGCATCCCTAACTATACTGCAAGTTTCAATTTTATGCATTTATGGCAAAAATGGGTTGGTATAATTTAAGACAGTGTAACGATTCAAAGAAACTAAAAATGTTAACGTATTATTTTGAACATATTCTAATTGTTGAAGAAAGAGAAGGACTTGTGTTTGGCTGGTATGCCTTGCAGGTGATGCAGACAATTTTTATTTTACATAAAGATCCGCTGTTTAAGTATAATATTGTAAACTTAGACTGTCGTCCCAAAAAATAAGGATCAATCATTAAGTTATCTCCTGTAACTTTTGTTCTAAAAGAGCTGCATTGTTGCCGTTTGATGACTATTTAGAAGCAATGGTACCCTGAATATCCCGTAAATTTCAACTCGTTCGCACCACTCAGTCCCAGATTATAGTATTATAAACCTATGCATGGTCCAAACAAGTTCTGCACGACTTCGTGCAAAATCGTTAGCACATTGACTGAACCTGGGATGAATCAAGATATCGAGGTGCATCGTTCAAGGACACAGGAATATCTAAAACCGATCAGTCCGCGTAATGTGATTTAAACGTCACCCTAACGAGATCAGCCGCCCCAGCCGCGGAGCCAAGGGCGCGAAGGGTGCAAACGATTAATCCGTGACTTTTCGTTGCCGATCGAAGTCCCGGGGATCTTTGGCTACAGAAACGAGCAGACGAGGGTCCCAGCTGTCGACGAGGGCAGCGGCTGCACGTACAATATCGCCGCGGCTTTTGGGGGATCCAAGATGACGGTCCTTCCGTCGCGTTACGGCCGGGGTTACCTCCCGGCGTCAGCTTGCGAGGGAAGAAACAAACGGCTGACCCTGCCGCGCCGGCAGAAACCGGGAAAAACTGTCCCTCGGATTATTGGTGTATCAGCAACACGCTTGCTTGAATTATAGAAAGAAGAGAAAGCTCGAAGTTCGTCTTGTTGTTCCTCGGACCGGCGGGATGGGGTGAGAAAGACTTTTTCGAGCTGTTCCAAGGGTATGAATTATTGTCGACTCTGTCCGTCGTGAAATTTAACACGTACACTTGACGATTTGCATTCTTTACATATATGGGTCACGATTAGAATTTGTTTTGAAATCAAAATTGTGTGCATTCTCATAAAATGTGAGCCTTCAATTCTTTTCATTTGTCTTCCGTTCTACTCTATTTGTTACTCGTACTTGTCATAAATGCGTAAAATCCTAGTCATGACGATTATATCGTGGACCTTTAGGATGAACGAAAATTCAAAATAAAATAAATTAAAAAAATAATGTTCTGACATCCTCTAATTCTCTCAACCCTTTGCACTCGAATGGCGATTCTGTAGCACCTCTAACAAATGCTACATTATTTTTTAAAGTGATTTCTATATTATTAAATTGGTTTGTATTTAAAAGAGTTGTTAAAAATGTAAGTATTGTGCGAGCTATATACGTTGGTACAAATATCTTAGTTTCGATGTTTTTAAAGTAGCTTCGAGTCCAGTGAGTTAATTTGTCTGTCTTTTTAAATAGCATCCACTGGTTCTCTCCCTGAATGCATAAAATCGAAGAAGGGACTCTTTACACAGAATAAAAATTGTATTTCTTTATATTCTAGCTTGCTGTTAAATATTGTAAATGTGAACGTGTTTTATTTCATATTTTGTATTAAGGGCCATTGGTGACATTTTGAGCCGTGGAATGCATGGAGCCAGAGAGGTCCGATCACAATCTCTTTATTTTTCACTTACGAATCTTACGGCTAGATTTACATAAAATATAATTAATCAATACAACTGCGCATAGTATACTCGTAACGCCAAGAAAAATATATTGCACGTATGCTACATCTGTGACACTTCGCGTCCCGGTGACTGCAGAAACCTACGGGACATCTGAGGGAGAGGAAAAATGCATTTCTGCGCGCTAAGCTCTCTTTCTCTCTCTCACTCACTCCCTCTCTCTCTCTCTCTCTCTCTCTCTCTCTCTCTCTCTCTCTCTCTCTCTCTCTCTCTCTCTTTCTTCAACGATGAATTATATCGTTGAGATCATTCTTGAGAAACGAAAGACAATTTTTCTTGCGAACGACACAAACGGTCGGTCTCAAAAATCTTCAAAATCTTCACGAACTCCTCTTTAATTGAGATTTCATCGCGAAGTCACTTGCTCCTTGAAATTACTCCTTGCACCCGCCAATAATTATACAAGCTGTCCCATTTATTTTTATCATAGACGATAACTATATGATTTGGCAAAGAAGGTAACAAAATTTGATAACTAGAAACTAAAAACTAAACTGAAACTAAAAACTCAATCAATTCAATCTCCTCTACCTTTTCTATATTCTTAAACCATTCCAACGAACCAACAGTCTCGACGAAATCAAGAAGAACCTAGAACGTTCGAAGTGATCGTGTAAGAAGGGACAGCTCGTATAAAGATTTATTTAAGAAAAATTTCAAATTGTTGAAAAATTACTCTCGGAAAGTTGAACTACGCGTTCGTTTCCTTGAAGAACAGAAAGCCACCCTTCAGGACACTTAGATAAATGCATGAGACGCAAGTTCTTCCGGAAACGAATGACGATCGATCCCGAAGGGTCCCAATTGTCTCGTTCAAGGTTCGCCGTACAACGTGTGGGTAACGGGTAAAATATATAATAATCGAACGTTCTTAATGCAGCGTCGATTCTCTTCGCACCCTGTATAAATTGTTTCGAGGTCTCGTCCCCAGCCACTTGTCCGTAAAAAATATATACACAGCTGTCGAGTTTATTTACACGCGTACAAATAAATAAGTTACGTCATAGAAATACTTACTAAGTAACGATGTCTATGCAAGAATATATCTCTAGGGGGTAAATTCATGGTTCCGTCGAGCGGGTCGACGATCTATCGTTAACCTGTACACAGTTAATACATATAGAAATACGTTCATCCGCGAAATCGTCGTGCTCACAGCAACGAGTAGGAGAATTTGCGGTCGCGTTTCTTGTGTAGGGATTGGGCACAGANATATTCTAGCTTGCTGTTAAATATTGTAAATGTGAACGTGTTTTATTTCATATTTTGTATTAAGGGCCATTGGTGACATTTTGAGCCGTGGAATGCATGGAGCCAGAGAGGTCCGATCACAATCTCTTTATTTTTCACTTACGAATCTTACGGCTAGATTTACATAAAATATAATTAATCAATACAACTGCGCATAGTATACTCGTAACGCCAAGAAAAATATATTGCACGTATGCTACATCTGTGACACTTCGCGTCCCGGTGACTGCAGAAACCTACGGGACATCTGAGGGAGAGGAAAAATGCATTTCTGCGCGCTAAGCTCTCTTTCTCTCTCTCACTCACTCCCTCTCTCTCTCTCTCTCTCTCTCTCTCTCTCTCTCTCTTTCTTCAACGATGAATTATATCGTTGAGATCATTCTTGAGAAACGAAAGACAATTTTTCTTGCGAACGACACAAACGGTCGGTCTCAAAAATCTTCAAAATCTTCACGAACTCCTCTTTAATTGAGATTTCATCGCGAAGTCACTTGCTCCTTGAAATTACTCCTTGCACCCGCCAATAATTATACAAGCTGTCCCATTTATTTTTATCATAGACGATAACTATATGATTTGGCAAAGAAGGTAACAAAATTTGATAACTAGAAACTAAAAACTAAACTGAAACTAAAAACTCAATCAATTCAATCTCCTCTACCTTTTCTATATTCTTAAACCATTCCAACGAACCAACAGTCTCGACGAAATCAAGAAGAACCTAGAACGTTCGAAGTGATCGTGTAAGAAGGGACAGCTCGTATAAAGATTTATTTAAGAAAAATTTCAAATTGTTGAAAAATTACTCTCGGAAAGTTGAACTACGCGTTCGTTTCCTTGAAGAACAGAAAGCCACCCTTCAGGACACTTAGATAAATGCATGAGACGCAAGTTCTTCCGGAAACGAATGACGATCGATCCCGAAGGGTCCCAATTGTCTCGTTCAAGGTTCGCCGTACAACGTGTGGGTAACGGGTAAAATATATAATAATCGAACGTTCTTAATGCAGCGTCGATTCTCTTCGCACCCTGTATAAATTGTTTCGAGGTCTCGTCCCCAGCCACTTGTCCGTAAAAAATATATACACAGCTGTCGAGTTTATTTACACGCGTACAAATAAATAAGTTACGTCATAGAAATACTTACTAAGTAACGATGTCTATGCAAGAATATATCTCTAGGGGGTAAATTCATGGTTCCGTCGAGCGGGTCGACGATCTATCGTTAACCTGTACACAGTTAATACATATAGAAATACGTTCATCCGCGAAATCGTCGTGCTCACAGCAACGAGTAGGAGAATTTGCGGTCGCGTTTCTTGTGTAGGGATTGGGCACAGAGATGGGCAAATTGATTAACACTGCACCTACCGAGCACGAAATCTATCCGATTATTTATAAAAATAACAAGGTTCGGATTTTCATCGATTTTTATCGCAACGTGTGCTCCGCGAAGAAATCATCGAACATCCTTAGAATTCGAACAATTGCGAAACAGAAAACGTGAGACTAGGTAGGTATAGCGTTAATTCGATACAAATTGTCTAATTGTAAGTTCCAGTCGTTCTACTTCTGACTGTCTAAACACACATAAACGTCGATCAATAGTAAATAAATGGCTGCTTGGGATATATCGGGGTAACTATAGCCTCTATTGCCACTGTAAAACACGTAGAATTATTCCCATTGATTTTATAGTCTAACGGAGCTTAGACTTTGCAAAATCGTTATAAATTATGTCTCTCGAGAATCACATCTTTACAGACACGAACCATTTACTTCCTATCAATCTAATACTCGATCAAACAAAAATTGTAGTAAGCCAGATCTCTCTACCTCCGGAGTAACGTTTTGCCCATTTCTGGTTAGAGGAGGTATGATAATTCCTGGGATGCTCACCCGTTGGAGTAAAAAAATACAAGAGAAAGAGGGTCGCTTTCTTTTTTCCAGGTGATTGTAGGCGCACACGTGGACTCTGTGAAAGCAGGATACTTCTCTAACGAGATTCTACAACGGCCTCGTTTCAATTATACGGCGCGCGAAACGCCGGCGAATTCGTCGCTTCGCGTTAATATCTGCTCGTCCTTTTCTCTGTTACATCAAAGACACTCTCTCCAAACACGCTATATTTACTCCTTGGAAAATCCCTAGCCGTGGCCGTAACGAAAAGCACAAAAACGGGGCGACTCCTGAAACGCGCTGTTCTCAGTTCCAAAGATAATAAACAATACGAGCTGATCTTTTGAGGTATGAGGCAGTGCGAAAGTAATCTCAATCTGGAATACAGTCTGTAATCGACTACTTCGTAATCATAGAATTCACAACTCTTCATCTTGGCTCGCCAAGATCGAAAGCTTGACAATCGTTTCAATTCACAAAACGTGGAGAAACCACAAGGGGAGGAGACAATATGAAGTAACAAGAAAACAGTACTTGAGTGGTAACACAGACAGTTTTAAATACTCCAAGACACGGGTACTCTGCAACGGGTTACGGCCACGTATACCCTAACTGTCTATTAATATCTTCAGGAACTTTCGTTATCGAGTCACTTCATTAATATATCATTTGATAAGGCAAACGACCGCCTTCGTCTTCGACCATCTTCCGGTACAGAAACAAATTCTCTATCGAGAAACCAAACTCCCAAAAAAGTTATCCAATCTCAACGATTGCCAGAACCGTCGAGTTACAAAAAAATCGTCGTCAAACGTTGTCAAAAATTTCATTCGCTCTGGTCGGTTCGATGAGGACGAAAAGAAGCCAGCGTTATCCAAGGGTTCGCAATGAAAGCGTGTGCTTCGAAGCACTTTAGACGGAACTGGTTTTCGGTAAGGGCTTCAGCTTCACCTCCCGACGCTGTTCATGGTACTCCTGGAAGCAGGGCACGATACAGAGGTTCGCCTGGCACTCTGGACAATGGTACTTCGTCTTTCGACGGAGTATTCTTCCGTGAGCGTCGATCGTGTTCCAGCAATGGTTGCAGCCCAACGCTGGACCAGGACGCAAAACTGGACAGTGACCTAGCCGCTGATCGCTCAGAGTCTCTCTGATGTCCCTGCTTGTGGTCTGCAACAAATTCGTTAACGAAAATTACTTTCGCGAATCCAGAACATTTTTCGATCTACGTGAGTTGCTAACGTTGGTTCCAAACAACTCTGCTACAGATGTTAACTTTAACACTAAACCCACCAAGCCGGTAAAATAATCGATCTCACATTCTGTATTTTAAAATTACTGAAGCTATAAAGAAGCTATAAAGCTATGTATTCATTGTAATAAAAATTGTGGAAAGTCTAAATAAATTCAGTCTTATCATTCTTACACTTTTAATGTTCGATAGGTTTAGTGTTAATGTACAAATGTTATAATTTCTCTAGTAGCTCGAAGATTCATTGAGCCAGAGGCAAGGATCCTGCGTTAATAATCACCTGAGGGGAAGATGAGCTTCGTATGAGCTCACTGGTCTTCACTGCTCTGAGCCCAGACGTGGACCCGGCAGCCTCGGGTGAGGCTGTCGACGGTTCTTCCGATATTTCCTGTTCCGTTTTAACGACGGGTGCCGGCTCGACGACTATCGAGGGACTGGTCGTCCTCCTGGGGAACTCAGGGTTCGAGTGCTGCCTATGGATCCACACGTTGCCGCTTGTGGATTGTTGCTGATTGGACAGAAGCGGGTGAGAGTGTTGCTTCGTCAGATAGGACGGCTGCGGCACTGTCAACAGATTCGCCGAGGTGGTCACCGCTAACAGGTTCGACTGGTTCACAACGATCGATGGTGGAGGCGAAGAGATCCGGGACTCCTCCCAGGATCTTGATGTCTGGAGTAGATTCAAGGTTGGCGTGCTCATCGACAAGGAGACGATGTGCGGCGAGCAGCCCTCACTGTCCGGGGATAAGTGATTCGGCTCCTTCTTCACGCGGGGCTGACGCATTAGTAGCCGGCATCTTTTGGGGCCCGCTGCTTTGCACACTACTGGAATGAGAAAGTTGAGAGTCGGGTGAATGATGAAGACTCTTTGTCGGTAAGACTGTAAAGGCCTGTAGAGTAGGAGTTTATGGTGACGCTAAGATGTAATTTCGAATGTTTTTTAAATAGTGGATGGAGATCTATCGCGAAGTGCGATCTCTCAGCTTTGTTTTAAGCTATTAAAAGTTTAAATATTCGTACGGGGAGACATTTTAAAACTGATTCGAAATGACCTCTTAAGACGCAGACATTCTCCTGCGAGCTATTGATTACGATTTATCGATTTTCAAAATGCTTACGAATCTTTCCTTAAACCTAAATAAATTTATCAGAAAGTGCGATTTTGCAGCTTTAGTTCGAGCCCTCAAATGTTCAAAAATTCCCACGACAGTCATCGAAATTTTCTTCGATGAAATCGCGATCATAGAATCCTAAAACTTTATATATCTCTATCGCGAATTAATCTAAAATTATGCAAAGTATAGGCGAAGATTGTGCGATTTTTCTATTAAATGCCAGATTATTGAGACGACGTTGAAAACAACGTGGATACACACATCGAAGCAGTAAGCGCATGAAAGAAATGCAGGTGCAAGACAGCTGATGTGCAGCGATCTACTCGCATGAAATGATAAAAACAATTCTTTTGTCATCTGGAACAAACATCGACGATAAAACAACCATATAGGAACTTACTTATTGATATGCGGGCACAGATAAACGTTGCAATTTCATTTGTTCTGATCCTCGAAGATTTTAAACGAAACTTTATTTTCATTACCAAAGTTGCTACATAAATAAAGATCTAAAAAGACGGTTAGCTTACGTCTTACGTGAACGAAGTTACGCCCGACCAGAAACAACTTTGATTAGCTCCCCCGTCGCCTCCGCTCATAAAAGACGTTATACATAACATCGACACAATAAATTCGATCATCTGCATATAAAATTCGTACCGATTAAACTAGTCTCTCGCTCGTTTCACCGATGGAGCGTCACGCGTAGGTCTGTATACATCTGTGATCAACACTTTTTCTCGTCGATGCACCTATATATATATATATATATGTTCATCTATTACTCTTTGTACAGATGTGAAAAGAAAAGGTGGATCTCGCACGGTGTACACACGATAATCAGCAAGCCGGTTGATTACGGCCGCTGATAATACACATATCAGCATGATAGCTCGTGTATGCTTCAAATGCGACCATTAACGCAAGGTTCACCGAATCTTCCTAAAGATCCGATGATTCTCGAGCGATCCTATTTCTTCAGTTATTCGATCTCGGAAAGGAAGACGATAACAAAATTGCCATTTTCCACGAAGTTAAGTACGTGCATATAATAGAATACAAGAATAGGTCCTCGCCGCGGTTGTTTCAAATGCAATTGTAGAAATCGTGTGAAGTAACTAAACGATACTCGTTCGCACGGCTGATGAATTGTGTATGCTCGGATGATCAATGATATTTACAATCGTTATTTAAATTCATTACCCCTAGTTGAGTACTAAACGGGACACAGGTCCCTGAATATATTCTAGCGCCCTAATTACATATCAATTTCAGGATAATCCGTCGATGCTATCAACATAACGGAAACAGAAACGTTTTATAAATAATCTCTTCGTTCGAAATCAAAAGTTAAACGAGAACAATTTCTTCGACGTAAATGAATGATAAGGTGGTCGTATCGTAGAGCTGTTTCTCAATACATGCATTACTTTATTACTTTTATAAGTTTGCAATGTATAGCCATAAACGCGTAACAAAACAATTTCACCTATATACATATTATGTATTACACGTCTATTAAGATAATGCATACATAGGAAAACACCTTAATATAAAACGTTCACGATTGCTTGTATTGCACTTCGATCCGGTGACGACTAACGTAATTAAAAAAGCCTATAAAATTTCTCATCATACCCTGTAACCTGTTACATTCACACATCCGGGCGTACCAACAAGATTTAATATTTTCAAAGGTAAATTCTAAGCGTAATTGAAAATACAAAAGATCCGTTTGTGCTGCACTCATTTACAAATTAATATGGTACACCCACGTGGCTGAATTTTTCGTATGGGATTGTTGTGTAGAATTTGTGTATAAGACCCACGAAACAACTGATCGTCTGTAATACATGTATTGACGGCAGATCCTGTTCTAATTTTATCCGTTCGTGGATAAGTAATCGTTAGTTTCCGTAATATTAACTGTGTGCTAATATACATGGTATATTCATCTAACTAATCGTTTTCGTACGACTACTTTTATTCATTATGTACAAAAGTTATACGACGCCGGCGGGCCGGCTGAAGTTGGTCGAACGCAAACGGCCGACGCGCACCGACAATAAGGACGATAGAAACGTTAAATTATGAATAAAAAGTATTCTTCCATAGCTCGTCTATAAACATCTGAAACCGTAAACGAATGCGCTCTATATCTGATCGCGCGATTTAGATCCCAAACGATACGTTTCAACAGAAGGAACCTCTTTCAGAACTCGTTCTGCCTGCGCCCGGTAATTCCGGAAGGAGACAAAACTGCGGTCAATAAAAGCATGTCCTTAGAACTCGTTGACTGTCCCATAAAAGTTCTTAAACGTTCGAAAATGCCTGGGTCCATTTAGATCCTCAGACATGAACATTGGAAGCGTATTAATCGATATTTTAATGGTTGTACTATGTATATTTACAAGAATCATTCGGTTCTTCGTGAGACAATCCTAAAAGAGATTCAAACGTATTAGAAACTGCTCAACAGTTGATCTTTGATTTTAAAAAGGCTAAAACAATGATGTAGATATACTTGGTCAGTACATAAACGAGACGAAGAGTTAAAACATAAATTAGTGATTTCATTGTACGTATATCCTTTTTGTAAATAAATATATACATGAAAAATAAATAGTAGGAAATCTTCTTAATGGTAGTGGAAAAAGTAAACGAGTTCTAGCATTAGCTAACAATGACATACTTCGTTGAACGCGTGTACACTAATGTAAAAAACTTGTGGTGTATAAAGTACGAACCGACACCCTCCCGCCCTTTCTTGAGATCCGTTGTTATTTTCATGTTTCCTATAGTTATGTACGAGTACATGTAGGCAAAAGATATCTAAAAACCATGTGTCTTCGCGTTTGACAAGTCACGATGCATGCGTGTACTCGTGGTCGTAAGGCAAAACAACATAAGTCACAAGATTGCATTTTGGAGACGTTGCCATTTATGGTTTTGATCAATTCATTATCGTTGCCAATCCGAGGATTATACGAATGTATGTATTACCTGAATCTAATCCAAAAAACACATGTTTGATCACGACCCTCATATACTTCTCCAGTAAAACTTCCCATTTTTATGTTTCAGATACAATAGTCTTCCATTTCCCTGTAATTTTGTCGTAGTTTAATATATTTCTTCAAAATATGAGATTACGAATGAAACACACAACTGCTCCAATTAAGAACTAAATGAATTCTGATCAAGACTGTTCATTAATATTAACAATAATTTTGATTTCGTTTCCCAAAGATGTACCATCAAATTATTTTGGATTCTCTCCAGCTACAATCAGTGAAGATAAGAAAAAATGCATCATGTTAATTGCAGTTGGCTCGATGAGAGAAAATATGATTAACAAAATGTCAAGAAACGCACTTTGGTATAAAAGAGACCATTGGTCGTTTTCACTCGAAAGGCACTGTGATTACTCTAGCACGAATGAGAATTGCCATACCTCCTGATGGGGGTGCTGTACCTCTTAACTATTATTGGAGAGTGTATGAGGGTATAGATTATGCAACTAAATCTCAACTTATATCTCAATTAAATAACTTAAAATCGTTCAAATGACTTAAGGTTTGCCTTAAAACAACAGCTATTCCAAAGTTTGTCACAAAGTCAGTGTTACTGGAACAGTTGATGCGTTTGTGACCACGCGGGGATCTAATACTTTTCAAGCTCGTCTATACAAGTGCCCACGGCACCCGTGTTATGGCAGGCTCACATCGCGTTGTAATTAACGCCGTGCAAATTGATCGGCATCGTTGTGCTGGGCAACGCGTAGTCCGTGTGCCTGCTGTCGATGTAACCACTCAGCATCGTGTGTGGACTGTGGGTGGTCAGCATAGTGTGCGTGCTGTGGGTGTTGTGTGTGCTGTGCGGAGTAGTGGGTGGGCCCATTGGCGTAGGGCTCTGCGAGTTAACAGGTTGCGCGGACTGGGCTGGCGGCGGTGAGGAGTTCACTTCCTGTTTGACCCGGGACTTCAAACTGGGCCGATTGTTCGGATAACCGCGCTTCTTGTACTCTAGCCAGAGCGTCCGGTTGTTGACACCGAACATCCTAGCTGCCTTACAGAATCCTATGCCGCCGTAACGGACTGCGTCTAACGCTCTGATAAAGTTCTCGTCCGCCTGCGGATTCGTCGATCGTTTCCTTTTAATTGCGGTCTGCGGACTGGCACACGGGCTCTGGCAGTTACTTGGGCACTGAACGGACGGCGACGGGCCGCTCGACGTCGCGTGCTGCAACGTCCCGTGCGACGGGTTCGGATAATTCGTCAGGGCGCAACTGGAACCAGTCGTGCTGGTACCAGAGTACTGATCGCTGATGGTCGAGGAAGCTGTTATTTCGGGCGTGGTAAAAGCTGATGATGCTTGGATCGACAGATTCGTTTGACACGAGGACAGAGCGAAACGTGGATATGTGTGCTCCATTATAGTCCATTGCAATCCTGCGGAACAGACCGGTTCATCTTTGGTCAGAGCACAGGAATTAATTCGACTGGCTAATATTATGTATGTTTTCGTTAAATGTAATGATAAGTACTAATTATGTGTGTGTTTGAGGAATGTACGTTTAGTTGAGAAAAATTGATACTTCTAGGCGTTGCTGAATATATATTTTGTGTAGCAGAGATGTTCGAAATAATAGCTAAAATTGATAAATCAAAAGTGAATTTACAAGAATCTATTGAAATTAAATTAGCTAAACAATTGTCTAGTTCGAATGAGAAGTAATGCTTTATGCTACTATATGAACGTGTGGAAAAAGAAGAAACAATGCTAAGCTGTAAGCAGAAAAGAATGGAAAGATATATGTAAAAGTCTGTGAATGTAATGGTAAATATATGAATATATCGAGGATAGAATCGTGGCATGGCACAGATACATTTTAAAGCACATCATCTTCCATTTTCAAGTATCAAAGAAGAGTATAACTTTGTTAAATCGTAGGACAGAGCAAGGCACACATACACACTTGACAATGTTAAAAAGGGGTGATTCGCTGTCCTCTGAAGAACATTATACATTGTGTGCTATGTATCTGTGTACCATGATGAATTTCATGAATGAGACTAGCCTTGAAAATATTGCACAACCAATTTTCATTTCTTTTCTCTTTTTTCCCGGTACTTTCGCTCTATTTTCATGTCAAACGTCTGTTGATTTTCCTTGTGCAGTACATTTAAACGCATCTGTGCCAGCATATAATGTGTGTAAGTTTTGTTTCTTTCAACATGCAGTTTCGATACCCACCACACTTGGTATAGATTGCATGTAACTACTAAATTACAGAGATATATTGTGTGAAAGATACATTTCATGCATTGTTCGCTACATACTAAAATAATTCAGTATTCCAATATGAAATTATTAACTGTAATCATACAGATGTACAATACATCAAGAAAAAAAACACAATAATTCTCACTTTTTAACTGTTTTTTGCACCATACAATTGTACACCTTTAATTGGTATTACAAATGCTGATATCACTTCCAATGTTGTTCTCAATGATTTAACAGATATCTATCACAGAAACAGTATGATCTGTGCTTCAAAAATTACATTAATTCATGCAGCATAAAAAGAAGAAGCAGCATAATTTTAATTAACCCTCTTGCGCTGGAAATTAATTAATCGTCCGCGACGAAACTGTCCAAAATAATTGAAAACGAGCTATTACTTGAAATTGCATTTATACTCATTTTAAATAAATTGCGTATTAAAAATGTATATAATTACACTATTTAGATAAATATAGACAAGATTAACAGTGTAATAAAAGATTTTATTAATAATTTGATACAGTATGATAAGTTTCAAAACAATGCGGCATGTGCAATGCAACGAGACATTTCTTACACTCCCAAGTGGTTTCACTGCGTTTACCATGTTTCGCACATACCTTACACCTTCTTTGAGGTCTTGGTTTACCTTTTGTGGGTGGAATGTTTATAGGAAAATGTCCCCATTGTTTTGCTTGCAGACGTAGTGGTGTATAATCTACAGATTGCATGTTATTACCATCTTAGAAAACAGTAACAAGCGACGCGTGTAGAATATCTTTCTCAGTTTGGTAGTAAACAATAATCGGCGTGCGTAGCACATTATTCCAGCGCAAGAGATTAATGTAATATTAATCCTGCTTGTCTACACTAATCTGCCCAGATGTATATGAACCTCCCTTACATTGTTTGATATCCCTGATTGAGTTTCTTATAATAACATCTGCCTCTGCATATACAACAAAAGATTACTTACCTTGATGTGCGGGTGGTTGTGAAGAAACTGAACTCTGTGCAACATTCCCCCCAGATTGTTGGCTTACATCCTGTATTGAACCATCACTTTGTGCTGGTGTTGCAGCAGAACTGTTCTCCATATTGCTCATCTAAAATAAATTATGCCATGAAATATTCCACAGTTACTGAAGAAGTACAAATGCCAATGTAATAAGCTTACAATTGATATTTGATCCTCATCGATGCTGCCTTGAGATTCTGTGTTAGTATTCACGGGTCTCCTAAGATTTTCACCAGTTTCTTGTGTGACAATCAAAGGTTCTGGTTTTACAATATTGGTAGCAACTAAAGTAATTTCATTTATCTCTTCTGGTTTATCACCAGATCCAGATGTAGAACATGTAGATGATTTTCTTAATCTCTTCCTACGAAATGATGGTGATAATGGCGATGGACTGGGGGAACAAGATTCACCACGATCCCCTCCACCAGTTTCGCTACCAGCGCTTGGCCACTTTGTTAAGGACGGTGTGTGCATTTCTGCTAAACCTTTTATCTTTAAACTCTCTGCAGTCTATTAAAAAAGAAAAAACATAAAACAATTGCGTTATCACAGATTATTTAATGAAATTATAATTTTAAAATGCTATATACCTTTATGATCGATGGTAATTGATCCTGTGATATGTTTACTTCACCGTAATACATAAAGTCAACCATAATCTTTAAATCCGAAAACTTTACATCCTTCAATATCACAATTGGATGTTGACAGGGATTAACGGTGAACAATGACTGAAAATATGTACTGCATGCCGACAAAACAACTTTGTGTGCCTGAAGCTGTCTACCTTCTGCAGCCAGTGTCACATCCACCAGGGTCTCGTTGTTCAACAAATTTGAGAACACCGAAATGAAATTCGGTTGATGATTGTTCCACCGCAAACAGAACTGTTGCATCGACATTTTGATATACTTGCAATTCTATACCTGCAAAGCCATTGATCCCACAGTAAATTGCATTGTTTGTATCTCGTAAACGGAAGAGAAATGATGTGACAACGGTGACAATTGTACAAAATGTACAAAACAGTACTTGTAAACATCAGACTGTAGTCAACATACGGTACGCTCAAACAATGTAAGATATGTACACATATATCTACAACACGATCTGCAGTTGTTTTTTTTACACGAACGAACTTAATCGCAAGACAGACAGTGTCAGACAGTCTTGTTATCGACACGAACTCCGACAGAACACGCGAGTTGATCCTGCGATCAAGCAAGTTATCATTCTTTCGAAAACATACGTGCCGCTCGTCAGATCGACAAGGCGGGTTATGAACCGTGTTTCACAGAGACGCGGAAGATAAATACCAATGTACACGACAATACGGTTACGATCTAGCCAAACACACAACAAATATATACCTGCCACCGGGATGATCGGAGAAAAAGAACAGACGGAGTTGGGGTTACTCACTTCGTCCAAACAAGGTCCCCGTCGACGGTTGAAAACACTGTCAGGTAACTTCGATCAAGTTGTCACCAGACTGTTCCGAGGTTCGTCGTAAAATCCAGTCTGTTTTTAATTAGGAAAAACAGAGTTCGCTCGTCGCTACCATGGATCCGACGAAATTTTCCACAACAGACTCACTAGTGACGCTTGTGTAATTCAGAAATGACGTCATAGGCAAAAATGACGAGGCTAGGACGGCGTGCGTGAAACCCTCCCGAGAACTCGCGGCGACATGTGTTTTGACGTTTCGCGACGAATTTCTCGTGAAATCGACAAATACGAGATCTTATCAACGTGCGTCCTTAGAAAATCTACCTTGATCAATATAGCGGCCGGTTATTAGTGACATCTGGCGAGGATCTGTCAAGCACGACGCTATACCCATCCACGATACAATACTTTTCCGCGCTGCTTCCGCAATCTCTTCCATATAGATATTTCAGTTATATATGTACATGACGCAGGATATTAATAAGCATTTCGATCGCTTAAATAGCTGAAGCAACTGTAGATGACGTACAATTGAAACGATCCGTGGTTTATTGAAATTATAAGTATTTTACTTCATCACAAAGATTACATCATATTACACTATGTGTATATGTTCGACAATACAATGGGATATGTTCCATTTCACACAGTGCGACGACAAGGATTGCTATCTAGTCGGTAGAAATGAAAATAAATAAGTAAGTAATAAATCTCGTCGAAACCGTTAAGTTCAGAACTGACGAAAATCAAAAGGGCACCTCTTGCATATGAACCAACAATGATTTCTTTTCTTTTCGTGTTGTATGTGATGCTACGAGTGTATACTAATCGATCCGAAATACAATACAGATTTGCTATAGATTTTTGCAAGTTTCTCGTTTTTCGTTGTATATGGGAATGTCAAAAAAAGATGGAATAAAAAAGAAATATAATATATATATATATACGTTTATAAACACTGAGGTATTTCATTGATGATAAATTGTAGAAACAAGATGCGTGTTGATCCATGCTATGCACTCCTGAATACCACTCGAACACTTAAGGAACTCAGAAATCGAATTTCATCAAATCGCGCTTCGAGGAACGATTCACAGTACAAGAACAAGAATTTCTGTCATCACCTTAACCGCGAATGGACCCTTGTTTTTGGGAGGTTGTACTTATTGTTACATAACAATGTTAATTTGACTCGTCAAAGTTCTCATATAACAATCTGTTACCTTAAATTTTGATATAGCGATATATAGCATGCCTCATAACACGTGGACCTGTATTTAAAAGCGAACCCGTTATATTTCCTTTGTGCACGATCCCGATGACCATAGTCACTTTAAACCACGTCCTAGTTTTATGAAACACTCTATATCTATAAATTTCACTCACAAATCTGATCTCTATCCGCTCATCGTTTACTTTCGTCGTTTACTTAATTCACGGAGACACGCTGTTCCTACAAGGTGTTAATGAGCCCTTCAACCTTCAATAAAAAGTAAGTCGTTAATTATGCGTAAATGAGTCACAAGTGTATGATATGTACAAAAATTGTGGTGCGTGTATAACCGCGGTTTCACATTGAACCAGACATCCTTGGAAACAGATTCCACGTACACGCGTAGCATTAACTCCTGAAGTATCTCCATTTCAAAAGAAATAGATAATACGTTGATATGTACACAGAATTATTCGTCTTCTTAACATCGAATTGCTATGTAAATACATGTACAATGATTGAGAAAGAAAGGATACCGGGGGAGGGAGGACAATGTCTGATCTTATATGCAAAATCACTTTGAGCGTTATGTACGCAACGTATATAACGCGTGAGTACTAGTGCAAAAGAATTGAACACCCAGCATACTAGGATATTCGTGAGAAAAGACGAACACGTTCGAACATGCGGCGATTCTTCTGTGTTTCGTTCGAAATGAATAATTTCAGTAATACTGTTAGTTTAACCAGTTAACTGCGGCGATCTCTTTGTAAAGCGCCCGCCAGTGTGTGTCGCGATAAGCTCTCGTGTCGCGACGAGTTAGCTCTCAGGAAGTTTTGAATCAAACTCAAATTATTTATAATTTTCATTTGTTTGTTTCATTTCATCTTGATCTATAAACATATTTTGAACATATTAAGATTTACGAATATAATTTAGTTTTCGCCAGAATTATAATTTAAATATCAAATCGACACAAAATTCTGCCACATGATGGATATAGTCGTCAAACACACTTAACTGGTTAATAGGCTTTCACTGCTAGGCCGTGGTTTAGTGACCAGACTCTGTAAGGCTCTTATTTCGTTTTCATTTAAGTTAGGTGGTCCGAATAAAAATTCCCTATGAGAACCCGGATTGGTCAGAAGATCCTGCATGTTCTCGGGGGTTAGAACCAGATAATGCAGAGAAGTTTGAGTTAAATTTACTTTCCTAGCTAAAGTCCCAGTTACGTGGACATCATCAATCCAGAAGTACGGCTCCCTTTGGGCTTCGCGATATAAAAGAAACACGCTATCAGGGGAGTATAATATAGCCCATCCAGCACAGTACACAGGATAATGTCTTCCAGGATATTCCTGGGGCGAGACTCTCCATTTCGAACGCCAGGATCTCTTCACGGTGCCCATGGAGAGGAGGTCGCAAAGGATCAATCGCCTAGCACCCCAAGGTGATAGGTCGCGCGTCAAGAAATCCAACATGGCGGGCATATGAACAAAAACATCGTCGTCTAATTTTAGTATATATTTGGCACCTGAAACAACAGAATAAAGTTAGTCCGAGAATCGTGTGTAGTTGACAACTACCGCTATCAACCCAAACTCGCTTAACACAAACTCGACGCTCAATGCCAGCACATATACATATGTGCATTAATAATCACAGTCTAGATATAAGGTCTTCTATCCTTTTTGTACGTAGATAGAATACTGATTGTAACACAAGAGTCTCCTTATATCTGTGACATGTGATGAGCTTATCACGATTCGTGATGGAAAAAATAATCTTCATCGACCCACGTACCACTTACTTGGACAATGATACGTAACCCACTTCAACGCCATCACATGTTTGTAAGTCATGTTTCTGTAGGCATCGAGAAAGCTGCCTTGTATCAAATCTTTATATTTCCTATTCTCCTGCTCCAGCCTGGTCTGGTACTCACTAGAGGAGCCGACCAGGAATAGGAGCGCTACGTCCGTCGACTGTTGACCCCATGTTTCGCGGACGACATTCCTTTTGAGGAAGTTCTCAGGCGCCGAGTGGACAAGCATCAACAGTAACGGATGCGTGCGATTGCATGGATCGTGGTTGATCGTGAACCTGAAATCTTTGATGTCGATCAGCGTGGATTTGTCACCGAACGAAAGTTCGCTCAGCAAATACGGTTGCGGTGAAGGAGTCACATTCCCAGGAAACAGCAGCAGATAGCCCGGCGCTGTTACACCGCTGGTGTAAGGCGTGAAGGAGCCGGAGCCGTCGATGTGCAGCCAGAACGAGAAGCATCCAGTCAGAGCCAAAGCGACCACAAAGATCAGGGTCCATGGCGACGAAGCGGAGGCATGAAGCCGCCGCTTATCCAGCATACTAACAAAACCCTTTCATCATATGCTGTTCAGCCTGGCTGTAAAAGAAAAACATTTCTTCATTGCATTATCTCTTCAAACATGGGAGTGCTCTACACATAACATCGCTATCAACCACTTGACTGGCTTACCATTCCTAGACATTGGACACAGAATATTGTGTTTTTAAAAGCCACGATTTTCTATAGCAAATTTTTCATTGTTTTCAACGTAAAGATTATTTCTTTCTAAGTCAATAATATTAAATCCACTTTACTATTTGTTTCAAAAAGCTACGATGTCGAGAACACGATTAAATTACGCTATATTAACACATTTATGTTTTTCATGAATATTTCGAGTACACGGGAAATATGATCATCATTCGTTTCATATCCACGTAACGATGAATAAATTTACATAAAATTAATAAAACACGGGTCCGACAACAACGAAACATATTGTAGGAATAATGGATTCAAATTTGTATCTATAATATACGCAGTTCAGTTAAGGTATACGCGATAAGTTGATAGTGGCAATCAAGTGAAAGTATTTAGCGAAATACGAACGACTTTTCTGTGTACCTTGAACTAATGGTTTTGCAATAGCGCATGCATTATCTACAACACTGGAATGCTCCGCGAACGTCCAACTTTCGAAGCAAATGCGAATGCAACTAATCAAATGATAAGTTAGTGCATCGTGGTGAAATAATTGAGCTGTTATTTACTTACAAGTAGAGTCAGTGACTCACAGGTATTAATACACTATTTACTAAGCGCAAATACAAGTGATAAATAGTTACGTAAAATATTTCATACATATTGTATCCGTTACAATATTTATTGATACGTTAACATCAATATACTTATTAATTGTTCGGAATGAATTCGAAAGCGAATCTTTTATTTACAAACAATTATTTTGATTGGTTCATAAAATATTTTATTAAATAACCATATTTACCAAATTGCCGATTTCAAATTTCGAAGATAGTTTATAGTTTCCGATGTTTATAGTTTCGAAATCATCGGTCGAATCAACGGAACTGTAAGTAGCCTGAAGAAAATATTGAAAGTGTATTTTTGGATCGCGGGTTTCTACATAGAAACAGTCAAGTACGAAGAACGTTATATGCATGACGTGATGTAGTCTGTAAAAGTTGCATGCGCCTACAGTCAATGATTCATACCACCTTTAACAGACTTACTCGTGGCCCAAGTGATAAGAATTATATACATATGCATATTCACACCTGTATCCACTCAAAGGTAAAAAAAAAAACTAAAGCGTGTAACAATAGCCGTTAATAATATTTAAGTTCATCTTTACCGTATTGAATATAGTAACGTTAGTTTATATTTATTTACAATTAAGCAATACGGTAATACAATACGATAAATACAAAAAACGAAAAAATACATAATGATTCAGGAATAAGTGAGATAAAATAAAACATTATAAACCATACTGCGTGCAAGGTCGAGCTTTTGAATATAAAAAAGACACATTTAGAAGCGAATGTGCCTGTATTGTATATATATATAACATAAATTGTATTTGTTAAATCATGATATTGATGACTATAATTTAAATTTATTGTTTTTCTCGTTCATCTAAATTTAATCTAAAATTTTTCATTTTTGTTCTTGAATTTTTCGATACGTGCTATTCATTTAAGATAAACTGTTTTATTTAGTTATTGATACTGCATATTTGCACATGCATATTTTTATGCATTTGCAACGATTTTAACACTGGACGCGTAGATATTAAACTAATTGATAAGTCGATATTAATTCGACACTAATTCCTTACATAAGAACGATTTGTAACGGAGATAAGAAACAATTTATAATTGATGCCTCCCGCAAACGTTCCGTTTGTTTTGACGAGTCACACAAGCCGTGTCCACCTTGTTCAAATAATCCGTATGATTAAACGTCGACGGTGTGACAGAAACAAGCTGAAAACCGTAACGTTTTGAAAATCGAACTAAACAACTTTTAGAAAGCGACGCGCAGGTAAATAACACTTTCACTCTTGGTATTCTCGTGAAATAAATTTGGATATTTCTAGAATGATTCTACCTCTCGAATCATTGCGACATTATTCACTTGCAAGCAGAGTACAGAACCGACTTACTGTTTTGTAGGCTTCAAACTAACAACAACTAAAGAAGGCAGTGCTACAGCATGCACTAAATAATTTAGTGGAACAGTTTGTAACGGCCAAGGTTCGGGAGAATGGTCAACGTAATTGTTTTTCTTTAGTATTCCGCCGTTCGATGATTCATATTCGTGCACTTTCATCAATTGATGAAAGCTAAGAAAACCGTTGCAACGGTACATCAAAATTAATACGCGTACAAAGATTCGTACGTTGGAATAACGTATCCAACGGCGGTTAGCAGATTTGAATTTTTCAATATCACTTTCAATTGAATATCGTATTCGTTAGTTGATCTCAAAACAAGAAGCAACCCCGAAAAAAAAACAAAAGAATAAGAAATCTATCGAAATTCGCGATCGTCGTTTGGTTGCAAGTCATAAAAGGAAGAAGGAAAAAGAAGGATGCTTATCGACACTTACAACTTACGTGCGGTGAAAAACTCTGGAAGTATCTGTACATCTGTCGTGTCGTCGAGTATTTTATCTTGCACATTCGGCACAAATGGGATCGTAGCGTCGAAATGCAACACGAGCACAGGGTTTTGCGGTTATGTCAGATCAGCGTATTGTTGACGATTCGCCCCGTCCAGGTAGCGGCATATCTCGAAGCTGTTCCCCTGGTAGGGTAGGATCGCAGCGCGCGTCAAACGACTAGGATCACCGCGTGGTGTTTCAACTGTTTTGTTTCTTCTTTTTCCTGACACCCCTCATCTTCTCCTTCCTATTTGTTTGTTTAATCGGTCGCCCTTACGCAGACAAGACGCCACAGACCATGTGTATAAAAATTCGCTAGGAGGTGAAGCCACGGGAGAAGCTGAATTCGACATAGACGAAGTTGGGTCGCAGGACAACGGGTAACATGATGGATATTCCTAGCCTTTCGCGGACGTAGCAACGCCCATTGTATAGCACCCTTCAAAATAGGTTGCACTGCACGCAGGACCATGACATTTTGTAACCGACTACAGGCACTTTGCATTTAATCCCCACTTTCCCCGCTCGATGTAACGGAAATCGCTAAACTGTCCCACTTTTACAATTCAATTTTCTTTCGATAGTCCTGCTTTCCCACGAATATATTTCTTACTAATTATTAATTCTGATCGATTCTCATGTAACTCATATTCTAATTGACATTACGGTGAACTTATTTTTAAGTTGATTTTATTAGAAACATCAGAAGCGCCTCAAACAGTAAGATCCGTAAGCATCCGTGAGCATAGACGAAGTACCACTGTAGATCTACTACCTTACGAACTTTTGTGAATGAAATTCAATATAAAATTCATTCGGGATTTATCTGTTTTTCAATATGAACTCGAATTCTTGTACAATTTTAAATAGATCTGTCGTAAAATATGATCTTCCAGCTTTCGTTTGAGTCGAGAAAAGTGAAAAATTCTCAACGAGAAAACATTAAAATATTATGTTTCATATAAATATTAGTGATTCCTACTGTTTTAAAAATGGCGCCATTTTTATCTACTACAGAATAGCGCCATTGGTCGCGGTGTCAAAACGCTCAAACTGATTGACAATATGATCGACGGAGGAATTCTATTCCTAGAATCATAGCATGGCACCATCTGTGGCAAAATGAATAAATTGGTAAACGAACGACACTGACAGATGAGTGTAGAGTTTAATACATAGACGAAGTATCAGTTTCAGCGTTTTTTCATAGATGGCGATACTCTATTATTCTAAGGGCAAAGATCTTCCGTTGATTAACAATTCGACCATTTTGACACTACGTCCAATGACACTATTTTGAGATAAATAAAAATAGCGTCATTTTCAAAACGGTAAAAAATTTAGGTTATTTAGTTTGCAAATATTCCAATAATTAATGTGAATAATTAAAAACTAATAACTTAAAAGGATTGTAGTCCATATTTTCATGGATTCATGTTGAAAATCTAAGCGATAAATAATAAGACGTTCGAAAAGTTAAGTTTTCTTGTTTAATTTATGTACTGAAACATTATCAACCCTTTGCGGACGAAGCCGCTCGACGGGTGAGCGTCGCTATGGACGACAGGTATTGGAGCGCGCAGTGAAGAAAATGTTCACGTCGCACGTTTGCGTTATAAAAACTGAAGCTTTATTCAAATAACTTTTTCATAAAATCCAGTAAAATCATAAACAAACAAATTTAGTCGTCTTTATATATGAGACGTTTTATATTCGTGCTTTGTGTGATATTGTTTGAAACAATCACCTATCTGCAAGACCGGTTTAGCCGAACAAGTAGCACAATAGTACCTCGACTCTCTTCTTCCGTGTTTTATTTTTCGATTAGAGCATACGAGGCAATTTTTACTTCTTCCTGTCTCATTTCGCATAATAATATGTAGAAGGCCGTTGAGCCTTTCTGCTGTTCCAGAAGTCGAAGGAGCCTTGGGATTAGCATCTCGAAAATCTCCAATCAATTGATCTACCAAGTGACGTACAAATTGTAAATGAGATAACTTTTTTATATTGTATTTCTTGTGATGTTCTTGATATAATAGATAGGAATTCATCACTGAAACTTCCAATCCCCAAAAAAATAATTTTCGCCATCATTTTTGAGACTTTCTCATGAAACAGTACGTGCCTGTGTACTGATCTGCTTTATCTACCCTACCCATATATTTATTATAATTTATAATCACGTCTGGCTCCACAATACGAGTTCTTCCTTTTTTGCGTGACCTTTTAGTAACGGTTTTCGAAGATGAGGTAACACAGGTGCTGAGCACGGTCACAATACGCTTGTCTCTCCAAGCCAATAAATAGTAAATCTTTCCGTCTGTAGGCAATGGCTTCATTTTTTGCAATCTTTCGATTTTTTATTTCACGTGGAATAAATTTCCTATTCGTCTGGATAGTTCTAGTTAGATTACATTTCATTTTCAGTAGTGCATCTGCCAAAGGAATGCTTATGAAGTATCGGTCATTGAAGATATGGTATCCTACACTGCCAGGATTGAATTGCAATAAATTGTGATATAGTTGTAAGACTGTTCTTGTGCTTATTGGCAGATCTGATCTAAGTAATTTCTCCGTAGTAAAACTGCTATACTATGGTAAAATAGTTTGTATATAACCAATATTGGTGTCTGCAAGAACATAAATATGGATACCCAACTTGGTTGGTTTTTGTGGGTTGTACGTAATAAAACTTATTCGTCTTTGAATTTGACGATTGATTCATCCACAGATAACTCCGCCCCGGGTACAAAATTTTCATGACATTTACTATCAATGTAATCGAACAAATTGCTCATTTTTTGCGTCCTTGTTGCCATGTTTCGCATACCTTCAATATTTTCATTTGTGTGAAGCATCCAAAATACTTGTAAGAATCGGTCTCTCCTGAATATTTCGGCAAAGTATGGGATCCTACATTTCTTTTCTGTGGTCCAATAATCTTTCAGGCTTGGAAGTGACATTGTCCCCATAAGCAATATTATGCCGAGAAATGCTCGCATTTCTTTTGGTGTGACATTCTTTTCTAGATGTTTTCCTCGTATCATATGATTTACATACCGATTAGTCTCCTCAACTATTTTCTTGATCAACTCATCGGTAAAGAACGAGTTGAAGAAATCTATATATATATATATAATGGTTCTGTATAAGTTGAATTTAGTTATGAACCAGAGGTTCGTGATCCAGAATTAAATTGTATTTTTTGTAGAATGATATCATGATTTGTGACATTTGTCCATTCGTTATCACTACTGCTATCAATTTCTTGAATATTCATTTCTTCATTACTGCTACTATCACTGCCCACGTTGAAACACCTCCATGCATTCCTTGTTGCAAGGATTTCACTTTCACTGGATGAAACAATGACGTCATCTTCTGTGTTGTCAGATTTAAACTGGAACTCATCAGTACTGTTACTATTGAACGTATCGTCTCTGAATCTTTTAGCCATCGTGTGTAGGATGTTATAAGATATAAAATATGTGAAAAACTTTGCTGGTTTCTCTGGTAGTGACACTGAAAGACTGACTCGACAAACTGAAATTCGTTCTGAACCTACCATGGTCTTGCATCATAAGTTTACACTATACGGAAGATAAGACTTCATCACTACAAAGCTTATTTGCTGATACTCGTCCGCAGAGGGATACCCATGCGTATCTTATCATTTAGAACGACAAACGTACGCCAGTCGCAGCGCAAGAATTGGGTGGCTATATGCCGACACGCGTCCGCAACGGTAAAAAGACTTGGGCGGCTATTTGCCAACACTCGTCCGCAAAGGGTTAAATACATTGATTCACAGTACATTCACAGATAGTGAAGCATAGAAACATTTACATCCTTTAAGAATATTTCATTTATACAAAAGTTTAGTCTTAATATCTTAATAACAAATTTGTATGAAAGTTATTTTTATTTCTAAATAAGTTTATAAAAAAATTTTCATTACCTAAGTCAATCCATTCAAAAAACACTGTGCTCATAAATGTTGGTGATACAACATTAATGTTTATTAAATAAACAGCATATCCATTACATCATCATCAGACTCTTCTTCATCAGTAGATGGCACATCTGGCATAATTTGTGATATATTATTTCGTCGTTTATATTCTGCAAAGCTTTCTCTCTCTGTGATAAAATTTGTATTATTTTTCCTATTCAAAGGTGCATAATGTATAACTTGTAATACTCTTTAATGATTACCTATTTTTGCAGCATCTTCAAGCCAACAAGGTTTATATAAATGATCTGTATCTGATACAATTAAAGGTTTCTTTTCGGTTTCAATATGTAGCCTTAGCCATTCTGTCCCTATCAAAGGAGAGTACAAACTGTATAAGTATAAAGTGCAAAATAATTAAGTACAAAATGATTGTGAGCTAATTACATTTATGAGCTTTTGTTAGTGTAATCTTGATCTCTCTTCCTATGTTTTCATGCATAGTTTTTTCTGCTACCACTGTCCCAAACAGGTACAAAATAACATAATAATCTTTTCCATTTATGGTACAGCTAAAAATAGGGTATTTCATTATATTCTATAAAAATAATTAATATAAAATTTACGTGTGAATACCTAAATAGTAAATGATCACATTCAACATGTAGGTAATAGTTATCAACATCTTGTAGTAAGATACGTATGATAACCGTAACATCCGTTTGAAACCACAATATCTTCGGACTATATAATCTGCTAATAAGTTTCGGGACACTCATCATTTAATTAAAATTGCCAATACATAAAGTATATTTTTTGCATTAAAAGCATCACAATAATGTATAAACTTAACCTTTAAATTCACTTATTAAATGGCAGAAGAAAATTTTGAAATATACATTATAAAACTTTGATTATGAAATGATTTTTAAAACTATTGCAATACTTAAAAATATATGATATAAAAGTATCGAATTCTAAAGCAACACTTCACAGTAATCAACATTCACACAATTGTATATATTTAGTACACATGCGTATGTACTAAGCAAATTGCTTTTGATTGGTAGAATTTTGAATCCACTGGTTTCATACTTTGAATTTGTTAACCTTTTTAATTACACAAGTATATACAACTCCAATTCTTATTATGTATGTAGACATGATTTGCAGTGAAATATTTTTTATAATACATATGCATATATTAACTTTCCAATGTTTCCGATTTTTTTCTTCTTTCATCGAATAACTCATAGAAAGGGTCGAAAATGTTAACTCAAAGAAATGGCAACGCTGGCTGTATATGGTGTATCACGGTCACCCAATTTGAGAACACGAATATGAAAATTTCTGATAGCAATTTCACTTCTCATATATTTCTATGTTTAAAGACCAATGAAGATTCATTCTAAAAGCGTTAGTTGATAAGCCGGGCGTGATCACTGTGAAACGTCAAGCACGTAGTCAAAATGTCACGAAACGATGGCAAGAAGGACTCGTCAGCATCAGCATTTCGAAAAATCGATGTAGATCAATACAGTGATAATAATTTTAAAGAAGAAGATGCGGATGGAGGATTAGGAGGACCGACTGGTCCAGACGAGACGGAAGTTTTGACACTTCTTAGCCAATATCCTTTTAATGTTTTTTGTATTGACACATATAACTATCTTCTAAACAATTTTGTTACAATTCATTATAGTTTCCTTAATGTTTATTCAAGGGTAAGAATGCCGAAGCTTTGATCTTAGTATTAAAATCTGCTCCACTTGAATGTAAAAATCAACAAGTAAAGGTAACCTCACTGTCACACATTTTCATTGCATTTTTACTTAATAAATAAAACTTATATTTCACTAGCCGATAGTATTTTATATTTTACTCTAATTTACATTGTTGTTTGATATTTAAATGACTGTAAAATTTCACTTTATGCGATCTGTTTTATGTCTATATTTTTATTTTGAACGGAAATATTATTGTTTGAGTATAATTAATACATTGTATTAAAGATTCTTAAAAATTACAGGACAATGCAAGGAATTTAACTTTGAAGGTTCTTTTAAGTATAAAATCTAATCAAATGGAAGACTGTCTAGCACGATTAGATAGTGACCTATTGGATGTTTTAATGAAATACATATATCGGGGATTTGAAATTCCTACAGAAGGTAGCAGTAGTCATTTGTTAATCTGGCATGAAAAAGTATACAATATTAGTGGCGTTGGCAGTATTGTACGAGCATTTTCAGATAGCAAGCGTGCTTGAAGATTTGTACATTTTCCAGTAATGTTCATTACGATAATTACCACTAACCCTTACTGTTACTCATTGTCATTGTTAATACAATGAGGATGTAGATAGCCAAGCCATTCAATTTTCCAAGTGGGAAATATACAACACATTTGTGTACATTTGTTATCAATAAAGTAATTTTTATTTCTTATACATTTGGGGAAGTGTCTTTCTAATTCCAAATCTGTTCTGTTTTTTTCAAAATCAATTTCCTTTCTCCTCAGTCATATTTAAACATATATATTAATTTTACATGAAATAACAACATACTACATTGAGACAACATTTATATCTTCTATTAGAATCGTTTTCGTGTGTTCATAATTTCATTTGTCGATAATGATATTATAACAATTTAATACATATAAGATAATGATATACATTTTATATTAAATGGTATTTAAATTCTATTATCAAATATATAACAAAATCGATAAAATTATAATAATACATACTTCATACTAGTTACAAGTAACTTTGTTATTATAAATTCATTACTCACACTTATCTTTTACTGTGAGCATTATCATATTTGTCTGATGTATTAAGTACAAAGCACTCACGAATACTGCATTAGCTCTGTAAAAATTACAAATTTGAATTAAAATATTTCAATTAAAATCAATGTGAATATGGAACTAAAGTGACAAATACTTACTGCCCTTCTTTGAAATACTCTTTTAATGTGTTACTAAATCTTTTACTATATTTAACAAATTCCCTTTTCCTCTGATCCAATGCCTGTTTTCCTGCAGAACCACGAATAAATGCATTGACCTCATTTACTGCATCTAAAAGCTTTTTTATTGCACTTGCTATTTCTCTGGAAATATTTAGAATATGTTACATTAAATGAACAACAAAAATAATTACACATAAATGAAATAGATAAATATAAATACACACTTGATTGTTTCAAGAAAAGTTTTACGATCAGTTATTTCATCAGGGATTCGACTAAGTATTCTTTTCAATGAAGTTGATTTACGATTTAGTTCTTGAAAAGCATCTTCGGATCTAGCTGATCTGTATTCTACAACTATGATTCAGAAAAAGTTACGTATATTATAATATTACTATATATTATCAAAATATTTCATTCAATCTTATTTAATATACATTGACAATATGATATACCATCATAATCAGAAGCTGCTCCTTGCAATCTCAAAACACTTTCATTCATATCAAGATTAAGTTCAGCCCGTCGTATTATACCAAGAATGAAATCATGTGTGATTCCTGGATGAGAATTTTCAGCTTTCAATAATGCTGTGCGGAGAGTTTGAGCAGCCAGTACATTTTGTCTCTCTAGCTGCAATTGAACCAAGAAACATGTAATAATAGTTTGTAACCATTCGATGACTCAATTTTTTTCAGTTTTTAAAACTAGATTTCACGTGGTAAAAAGATCTCAGAAATTTAAAGTACCTTCATTAATATTGGTCTTAAGATTACAGGAAGAACCAGTGATGCAACTGGAGTCTCATCGCCCATTGTCATCGTTTACAACGTTTATTTGTGATAACAGTTCGAACGTAATTAATTTGCGATCAATTTGAATGTAAAACACGACTAATTCAACTCTGAAATGAAGTATGCAGACATCGGTCAAATTGTTTATATTAAAAGTTATCAATTACGATCATATTTTTGATATGACAGCTGTCACAGTCCAGTTCAGTGTCTCCTCCAAAAATGAGGTAAACAGGCTGTGCAACTTGATCTTCAAGTAAACCTTCATGTACAATTTTTCTAAATTCAATACTACCTGAATAATTTTTATCGTTTTATCCTTAATATGTATTCAAATTCTTATTAATTGCAGACATTTTTAAATAAAACCGTTTCAATTATTCTAAATATTGTTTTCATTTATTATTTGAAAATGATCGTTTCAGTTATTTCTAAGTAATGTAACCTTATTAGCGAATAAACGTCTTCCTTATTAGATTTAAGAAATCCAGATTGCGATCAATGAAATACCGCCTTGACCTAACGCGGCTTGAACAAATGGTACGAAAGTGCATCAAAACAAGGGATAACCTCTCGAGTTAGCAGCCGGATATAAATACGTAATACAGTCGTGTATTTAATGCAATCAAATTATATAAATTGTGTAATATTTATTTACATTAATAATGACGTTAGAACGGAAAGACTTGGAAGGGAACTTATATGTTTTCGTAAGTACATTTGTTTCAGTTAACCTCAAAATACTTGGTATTGAGTTTACTTTCAACATTTATTTGAATAGAATGAAGAAGATTTGCCATATGAAGAGGAAATCTTAAGAAATCCTTATTCCGTAAAACACTGGCAGCGTTATATAGATCATTTAAAAACTACAAAAAGTAGTAATTTAAATATTGTATATGAAAGAGCATTAAAAGAACTACCTGGAAGGTATGATTTGTATTTTTATTAAGAGTTATTTTTATTAAATAATAACTATGTAATGACAGCTAGGTAATAATAGAATATTTTCATCAGTTACAAATTATGGTATAATTATCTGCGTCAACGTGTAAGTCAGTTGAAAGGACGATGTATAACAGATGCTCTTTATGAAGATGTAAATAATGCATTTGAGCGTGCATTGGTTTTCATGCACAAAATGCCTCGAATTTGGATGGACTATTGTACATTAATGACAGATCAATGCTATATTACTCGTACTCGACAAGTGTTTGATAGAGCACTTAGAGCTCTTCCAATTACGCAACATCATCGTGTATGGCCCTTGTATATTGAATTTTTGAAAAAACACAATGTATATGAAACTGCAGTACGAGTTTTTAGAAGATACTTGAAGGTATATATACATTGAACAAATTACATTTATTACTTTGCACACAGATAATACATACTCTTTGATTAGTTGGCCCCAGAAGATACAGAAGAATATATAGAATATCTAATATCTATTGGAAGACTTGATGAAGCAGCTGTAAAACTTGCACAAATTGTTAATCAAGATGATTTTGTTTCAAAGCATGGAAAATCTAATCATCAATTATGGAATGAATTGTGTGACTTAATATCAAAGAATCCATCTAAAATAAAGTCTCTTAATGTAGATGCTATCATCAGAGGTGGTCTAAGGCGATATACTGATCAGTTAGGGCCCCTTTGGAACTCTTTAGCTGATTATTATGTTCGCAGTGGTTTATTTGAAAGGGTACAAAATTATTTTTTATTACACTAAAATTTAAATAATTTTATTCCTGTGCAAAATAATTTCATATTTTTATTTTAATAGGCAAGAGATATTTATGAGGAAGCGATACAGACAGTAACTACTGTTAGAGATTTTACACAAGTTTTTGATGCTTATGCACAATTTGAAGAACTTAGTCTTAGTAAACGCATGGAAGAAGTTGCAAAAAATCCTACTGCAGATGGTATAAAAATAGTCATATAAGTTAATATTCTCTAAGGTTTACATTTTATCACTTACTAATCTTGTATTTACAGATGATATAGATTTGGAATTAAGATTAGCTCGATTTGAACACTTAATGGAAAGACGATTATTGTTACTTAATTCTGTGCTACTTAGACAAAATCCTCATAATGTACAAGAATGGCATAAGAGAGTTATGCTTTATGAAGGTCAACCACACGAGGTACGTATTGATTTAGACAAAAATTGTTTGAAAAACGAAAGCAATGTGTTATAATACAAAAAAATATTTACCCTTTTAGATTATTAATACATACACAGAAGCTGTACAAACTGTACAACCACAATTAGCAGTAGGAAAGTTACATACATTATGGGTTGCATTTGGTAAATTTTATGAAGAGAATGCACAAATAGCTGATGCTAGGGTTGTTTTTGAAAAGGCAACTCATGTTCCTTATACTAAAGTTGACGATCTCGCTTCTGTGTGGTGTGAATGGGCGGAAATGGAAATTAGACATGGGTATAGTAGTATGCTTTACAATTTTTAAGAATTATATGAAATATAATGAATGCATAATACAGTTTTAATTATACAGCAATTACAAGGAGGCGCTAAAACTCATGCACCGAGCTACTGCCATGCCATTCCGCAAAGTGGCCTACCATGATGAAACAGAAACTGTACAAATGAGATTGTACAAGTCTTTGAAAGTTTGGTCTATGTACGCCGATTTGGAAGAAAGTTTTGGAACATTTAAGGTACTCTTATGTACGAAAATATAATGTTTTTTTGTTTACAATTTTTTTCACAATTTGTAACTTTTATATTTTT